TGGAGTGATGTAGCAGAGGGTGACACCCAGTGTATGAGAGCGGGAGCACATGGAGTGATGTAGCAGGAGGTGACACCCAATGTATGAGAGCGGGAGCACATGGAGTGATGTAGCAGAGGGTGACATCCAGTGTATGAGAGCGGGAGCACATGGAGTGATGTAGTAGGAGGTGACATCCAGTGTATGAGAGCGGGAGCACATGGAGTGATGTAGTAGGAGGTGACATCCAGTGTATGAGAGCGGGAGCACATGGAGTGATGTAGTAGGAGGTGACACCCAGTGTATGAGAGCGGGAGCACATGGAGTGATGTAGTAGGAGGTGACATCCAGTGTATGAGAGCGGGAGCACATGGAGTGATGTAGTAGGAGGTGACATCCAGTGTATGAGAGCGGGAGCACATGGAGTGATGTAGCAGGAGGTGACACCCAGTGTATGAGAGCGGGAGCACATGGAGTGATGTAGCAGAGGGTACACCCAGTGTATGAGAGCGGGAGCACATGGAGTGATGTAGTAGGAGGTGACACCCAGTGTATGAGAGCGGGAGCACATGGAGTGATGTAGTAGTAGGTGACATCCAGTGTATGAGAGCGGGAGCACATGGAGTGATGTAGTAGGAGGTGACACCCAGTGTATGAGAGCGGGAGCACATGGAGCGATGTAGGAGGTGACATCCAGTGTATGAGAGCGGGAGCACATGGAGTGATGTAGTAGGAGGTGACATCCAGTGTATGAGAGCGGGAGCACATGGAGTGATGTAGTAGGAGGTGACATCCAGTGTATGAGAGCGGGAGCACATGGAGTGATGTAGTAGGAGGTGACACCCAGTGTATGAGAGCGGGAGCACATGGAGTGATGTAGTAGGAGGTGACATCCAGTGTATGAGAGCGGGAGCACATGGAGTGATGTAGTAGGAGGTGACATCCAGTGTATGAGAGCGGGAGCACATGGAGTGATGTAGCAGGAGGTGACACCCAGTGTATGAGAGCGGGAGCACATGGAGTGATGTAGCAGAGGGTACACCCAGTGTATGAGAGCGGGAGCACATGGAGTGATGTAGTAGGAGGTGACACCCAGTGTATGAGAGCGGGAGCACATGGAGTGATGTAGTAGTAGGTGACATCCAGTGTATGAGAGCGGGAGCACATGGAGTGATGTAGTAGGAGGTGACACCCAGTGTATGAGAGCGGGAGCACATGGAGCGATGTAGGAGGTGACATCCAGTGTATGAGAGCGGGAGCACATGGAGTGATGTAGTAGGAGGTGACATCCAGTGTATGAGAGCGGGAGCACATGGAGTGATGTAGGAGGTGACATCCAGTGTATGAGAGCGGGAGCACATGGAGTGATGTAGGAGGTGACATCCAGTGTATGAGAGCGGGAGCACATGGAGTGATGTAGGAGGTGACACCCAGTGTATGAGAGCGGGAGCACATGGAGCGATGTAGGAGGTGACATCCAGTGTATGAGAGCGGGAGCACATGGAGTGATGTAGTAGGAGGTGACATCCAGTGTATGAGAGCGGGAGCACATGGAGTGATGTAGGAGGTGACACCCAGTGTATGAGAGCGGGAGCACATGGAGCGATGTAGGAGGTGACATCCAGTGTATGAGAGCGGGAGCACATGGAGTGATGTAGTAGGAGGTGACATCCAGTGTATGAGAGCGGGAGCACATGGAGTGATGTAGTAGGAGGTGACATCCAGTGTATGAGAGCGGGAGCACATGGAGTGATGTAGGAGGTGACATCCAGTGTATGAGAGCGGGAGCACATGGAGTGATGTAGTAGGAGGTGACACCCAGTGTATGAGAGTGGGAGCACATGGAGAGATGTAGCAGAGGGTTACACCCAGTGTATGAGAGCGGGAGCACATGGAGAGATGTAGCAGAGGGTTACACCCAGTGTATGAGAGCGGGAGCACATGGAGTGATGTAGCAGAGGGTACACCCAGTGTATGGGTATGGCAGTGGTGAATGCAGACTATGGGGACCATGGCTGGATGAGACTGAATGTAGCAGGAGGTGAGATCAGAATGGCTTCCTGTAGAGTTATGGCATAACATGGAGTATGTAGGACCTCAGCTCCTGGCATATTCAGTCTCATCCAGCTGTGCGCTCCTCCTCTCTGCAGCCTGCATCATTGCTGCTGAACACTGGATGTCACCTCCTGATCCAGCCATGTGCTCCTTCTCTCTCCTCCATCTCCAGTCCATATTGCCTGCTGCCCTACACACACAGTCATTGAGGGATCTCACCTCCTGATCCAGCCATGTGCTCCTTCTCTCTTCTCTATCTCCAGTCCATATTGCCTGCTGCCCTACACACACAGTCATTGAGGGATCTCACCTCCTGATCCAGCCATGTGCTCCTTCTCTCTCTCTATCTCCAGTCCATATTGCCTGCTGCCCTACACACACAGTCATTGAGGGATCTCACCTCCTGATCCAGCCATGTGCTCCTTCTCTCTTCTCTATCTCCAGTCCATATTGCCTGCTGCCCTACACACACAGTCATTGAGGGATCTCACCTGGTGATCCAGCCATGTGCTCCTTCTCTCTTCTCTATCTCCAGTCCATATTGCCTGCTGCCCTACACACACAGTCATTGAGGGATCTCACCTCCTGATCCAGCCATGTGCTCCTTCTCTCCTCCATCTCCAGTCCATATTGCCTGCTGCCCTACACACACAGTCATTGAGGGATCTCACCTCCTGATCCAGCCATGTGCTCCTCTCTCTCCTCCATCTCCAGTCCATATTGCCTGCTGCCCTACACACACAGTCATTGAGGGATCTCACCTGGTGATCCAGTCATGTGCTCCTTCTCTCTCCTCCATCTCCAGTCCATATTGCCTGCTGCCCTACACACACAGTCATTGAGGGATCTCACCTCCTGATCCAGCCATGTGCTCCTTCTCTCTCCTCCATCTCCAGTCCATATTGCCTGCTGCCCTACACACACAGTCATTGAGGGATCTCACCTGGTGATCCACTCATGTGCCCCTTCTCTCTCCTCCATCTCCAGTCCATATTGCCTGCTGCCCTACACACAGTCATTGAGGGATCTCACCTCCTGATCCAGCCATGTGCTCCTTCTCTCTCCTCCATCTCCAGTCCATATTGCCTGCTGCCCTACACACACAGTCATTGAGGGATCTCACCTGGTGATCCAGTCATGTGCTCCTTCTCTCTCCTCCATCTCCAGTCCATATTGCCTGCTGCCCTACACACACAGTCATTGAGGGATCTCACCTGGTGATCCAGTCATGTGCCCTTCTCTCTCCTCCATCTCCAGTCCATATTGCCTGCTGCCCTACACACACAGTCATTGAGGGATCTCACCTGGTGATCCAGTCATGTGCCCTTCTCTCTCCTCCATCTCCAGTCCATATTGCCTGCTGCCCTACACACACAGTCATTGAGGGATCTCACCTGGTGATCCAGTCATGGGCTCGCGCTTTGTGCTGCCTCCCACCGTGATCAGCGCTGCCATTGAAAGTGACACCTCTCCCTTCAGCTCCTGCTCTGTGCAGTACTCCCTGCACCTCCTTCTGACTTCACAGGAGCCACAACTACAGTGGAGACATCGGGTATCGATGCACGCTGACAGTACTGACTGTCAGAGTGCATTAAGAACACTACTGGAAACAGCATTGGGTGGTATACATCTGCCGGAATGTTGATTTGTGTCAGAACCCGTGGGGACTTCTTGTGGTTGAGAAGCAATGTTCTACATGCTGTAGGTGGGGGGGGCTCTGGGGGTGGGGGAGGAACATGTCACATATTACACACAATCCAGGTATAAGATGTCCCTATGAATGGATACATTGTTTATCCCTTAGTCCCGGTCCCACTCATGCGTTATAATTGTACAGCTTCCAGGGAAGTCGCATTATTTCAGTGGGATGTCTGGTGTCACTCACAAGGCACAGATGTCTGTACGGGTCACACCTGGAGTAGTGCATGTTCTACTTTCACAGTCAGCACAACTCTGACCAAGTCATATGACCCATTTCATTGCAGACTATAGGGTGCGATCTGAAACACGCATGGCATGTCACACTATTATGGTGTGCTGTTCTGTCCTCTCATCATTGGATGTTTTCAGCAGCCACTGACGATGGGTTTACCCAATCATATCCTGCATTGTTTGCCATGTCCTTTGCTGTTGTACCTTCTATCCTGTTTCCCATCTCAGAGAATCAGGAGGTTCAGTCTTCTTACCCTTGGATCATACTATCGCTGCGGGAGCGAGAATCGCAGCAATTCCCACAACCACCTGCAGGCAACACGCACTGCTGTTCAAACATTCACATTCATTCTTCATCGCACCCCCATGAATTTCTAACTGCAGTGTTTCCAAAATGGTGCTTGCACCTTCTTTGCTGCTGGAAACGTGGGGGCAACCTTTGAACCAAGCCTCAAACCGCTGCCCCCAGAGCAGGTGTCCCCATTGCAAGAATGTCCCTCACTTCCTGTTCCAGTGACAACTATGAAATGTTGGATTCCCCCTCACTTTCAGTTCCAGTGATAATGGTCACCAGTACAGAGAAAGAATTGCACCAGCAGAGACACAGACTGTGATATCAAATCTCCTCCATGCCCTACCCAATACAAACCTCCTGATTTCTGCAGGTATGGGCCTGCCCTGCCTCCAGTATAGGGGAGTCCTCCTGGTGTCCTCAATAACAGATGTGTTCCTCCATTCAGAGCCATGCTTTACATCGGACTATCCTAAGTCCCATGGTACAGAGCCTTCTTGGGCCCCTCAAAATAGGTCCCCGGGGTCATCAATAGAGTGGAGGAGGGCTGTTCTCTATACTCCTCACCTTTATGGCTTCTTACCTGTCTGATGGGCCCCTGTGATGACCTGGGAGCGCGGCGAGACTGAGCACGCAATGTGCCCGGAGTTTACTGGAGAGGTCTCCACACACCGCCGGGAAGGAGGGAGCAGGTGGAGGTGGGAACAGCCAAAGTCCAGAAATTCAAAGAGTGGAGGTGTGGGCGCTCCACCCACCAGTCTGATGCCGGCAATGACTCCACTCTGTGGACAGAAGACAGTTCCATATAATGCATGCAGCCAAGAATCAAAATGGAACTACAAGTCCCTGCATTCCTCATATCCCCGGACCCCGTATCCACTATATCCCTTCTCCTTGGACCCCACATTCCCTATATCCCTTCTGGACCCCGCATTCCCTATATCCCCTGACCCCGTATTCCACTATATCCCTTCTCCCCGGACCCCGCATTCCCTATATCCCTTCTCCCCTGACCCCGTATCCACTATATCCCTTCTCCCCGGACCCCACATTCCCTATATCCCCTCTCCCCTGACCCCATATCACTATATCCCTTCTCCCCGGACCCCACATTCCCTATATCCCCCGCCCCGCTCCCTGGACCCTCTCCCCGGACCCCACATTCCCTATATCCCCCCCGACCCCCGGACCCCGCATTCCCTATATCCGCTCTCCCCGGACCCCACATTCACTATATCCACTCTCCCCGGACCCCGCATTCACTATATCCGCTCTCCCCGGACCCCGCATTCACTATATCCGCTCTCCCCGGACCCCGCATTCACTATATCCGCTCTCCCCGGACCCCATTCATATATCCCTATATATCCGCTCTCCCTGGACCCCGCATTCCCTATATCCCCTGACCCCGCATTCCCTATATCCGCTCTCCCCGGACCCCACATTCACTATATACCCCGCATCCTATATCCGCTCTCCCCGGACCCCGCATTCACTATATCCGCTCTCCCCGGACCCCGCATTCACTATATCCGCTCTCCCCGGACCCCGCATTCACTATATCCGCTCTCCCCGGACCCCGCATTCACTATATCCGCTCTCCCCGGACCCTGCATTCACTATATCCGCTCTCCCCGGACCCCACATTCACTATATACGACCGCCGTGTGGGTGGGGGGATTTTGTCATGACAAGTCGGATGATTGGAGAAGAGCAGGCTGAGTTCCCAGCACAGCTAGAGAACTGACCACACTCTGCTCTCATGCCTAGTGTGGTCAGTAATAGGAAAGGAACTCCAGGGATTACACACACAGGAAGCAATCCAGAGAGAAGAGGAGACCAGTACATGGTACAGCCGGCACAGATCAGGGGAGGGAATGTTGGCTTTACATATCCTCTGGGAGAACGTTCAGTAAGTAATATTTGTCATTTGTTTTTGTTTAGATATACACATGAAAGAGATCAGCTCCCTGTAAGTATGATTCTTATTGTGTCTTCATGTTACATGCCCCCATTTCTGTGTCATATATGACTATATTTGTACATGGGGTGGCCGTGTTTACTCAGTACACATTGCTGGCGCTCCTTCCTGCCCGGCCTGTTTTCTTCATGAACCTCGACCAGACAGAATGGGGGAGAGTTACTAAACCTGGAGAGTGCAGAACCCGGGGCAGCTGTGCATGGCAGCCAATCAGCTTCTACCATCAGCTTGTTCAGTGAAGCTTTGACAATAAAACCTGGAAGCGGATTGGTTGCTGCAGATTTTGCACCCCCCAGTATTAGTACATCTCCCCCTTTGGGTGTAGATACAGTACAAGTCACACAATACAGCCTAGGAGCAGCATGGAGAAAGCATTCATTTACTCAGTAGTAATAATGTGATTTGCTGGGGCGATGTGAAGCGCCATTTTTACAGGTCCTCCATCCCAGTGCCTGGCAGTAGTCAAAGTCCCGGGACTGTGTTCTGTAGGCCCCGTTCCCATGGTGCCTCTATTCTCCTCCCTGCTGAGTCAGATCACAATGGTAATGGAAGTGACATCTGTTCTGCCCTTATGATGGAGGAAATCGGGACCCATGTAACCCCTGTGTGTGCCCGGAGGTAAGCAGAAATGTGTCTTCTTGTATCAGGTCCTGGACACAAATCTATGTGCTGCTTTGGACCTGAAAGGAGCCAGATGTAAACGATTGCATATTTGTATACATCCATCCTCCCATAGGAATACATTAGAGTTCAGTTTTTAATCTGTCTAATCATGGACCAACAATGGACTGAGGGAAGACCCGTGTGAAAGGGGCCTTAGAAATGTACAGTAAGTAACCCTTTCATTGGGTTTATAGAGGAAAGCAGCCCCTTCTTTACTGCCGTGACCATGTTTTCCAGTCTTTGGTGCACTTCCAACCTTGGACCCTCACTTTTCTGTGGCACCATGCCTGTTAGTGGTGATGGCCTGCCTTTTGTGTGGCCATAGCAGGCAGCCCGAGCACCCCCAACTTGGACTAACCTTCCAGGCAATATGACCTGTTGGCCCAGCATCTCTCACTCTTTCTTGATGGGTGGGTTGTGGTCGGAGACTGGACCCCCTGTCCACCCTGGTTGTGTGACCTTACCCCATCATCCCCAACGTTATCCAGAAGCTGGTCCTAGGGCTCAATAGCCAGGCAACATCACTGACAGCTCTTGTTCTCCCTCGCCATACCTGCTGCAATACCTGAATGACGGCACACTGAGGCCACACGTACATCACCATCTTTACTGAACAATGTAAAGTGGGAATACAGCCATCCCGGGTCTTCTGTTGTCTTTGTCTTTTTGTGAAATGTTTACCAAAACTGAACTTCATATTCAGCCCTGACCATTCTCCTAGTTTGTGACGGAGCAAAGTGACGCTGTCCTGCTATCTACAGTGGGGATGGAAAGTTTGGGCACCCCAGCTACAAATTGTGTATTAATGTGCATAAAGAAGCCAAGGAAAGATGGAAAAATCTCCAAAAGGCATCAAATTACAGATTAGACATTCTTATAATATGTCAACAAAAGTTAGATTTTATTTCCATCATTTACACTTTCAAAATAACAGAAAACAAAAAAATGGCGTCTGCAAAAGTTTGGGCCCCCTGCAGAGTTAATATCTTGTACTGCCCCCTTTGGCAAGTATCACAGCTTGTAAACGCTTTTTGTAGCCAGCCAAGAGTCTTTCAATTCTTGTTTGAGGTATCTTTGCCCATTCTTCCTTACAAAAGTCTTCCAGTTCTTTGAGATTTCTGGGCTGTCTGTCACGCACGGCTCTTTTAAGGTCTATCCATAGATTTTCAATGATGTTGAGGTCAGGAGATTGTGAAGGCCATGGCAAAACCTTCAGTTTACGCCTCTTGATGTAATCCCCCGTGGATTTCCAGGTGTGTTTAGGATCATTATCCATTTGTAGAAGCCATCCTCTCTTTAACTTCAGCTTTTTCACAGATGGCATCAAGTTACCATCCAAAATTTGCTGAAATTTTATTGAATCCATTTTTCCTTCTACTCGTGAGATGTTCCCTGTGCCACTGGCTGCAACACAACCCCAAAGCATGATTGATCCAACCCCATGCTTCACAGTTGGACAGAGGTTCTTTTCATTCAATTCTGTGCCCCTTCTTCTCCAAACGTACCTTTGCTCATTCTGGCCAAAAAGTTCATTTTAACCTCATCGGTCCACAGAACTTGTTTCCAAAATGCATCAGGCTTGTCTATATGTTCATTTGCAAAGTTCAAACGATGATTTTTGTGGTGAGGACGTAGAAGAGGTTTTCTTCTGATGACTCTTCCATGAAGACCATATTTGTACAAGTATCTCTTTATAGTGGAATAGTGACCACAACTCCAGTGTCTGCCAGATCTTTCTGGAGTGATCGTGCAGTCAAACGTGGGTTTTGAATTGTTTTTCTCACAATCCTGCGAGCTGTTCTGTCTGATATTTTTCTTGGTCTTCCAGATCTTGCTTTAACTTCCACTGTTTGATGACTGCCATTTCTTAATTACATTCCGAACAGAGGATATTGACATCTGAAAACGCTTTGCTATCTTCTTATAGCCTTCTCCAGCTTTGTGAGTGTCAACTATTTTCAGTTTCAGTTTTCTAGACAACTGCTTAGAAGAACCCATGGTGCTGATTGTTGGGGCAAGGTCAGATGAGTCGGGGCATTTAAAACCTTTGAGATTGACATCACGTGGTCTTCCCAGACGATGATTGAGAACAATCCATGACACTGGCAGGTCTCAGCTTGGCAAAGGGGGCAGTACATGCTATTAAACTCTGCAGGGGCCCAAACTTTTGCAGACGCCATTTTTTTGTTTTCTGTTATTTTGAAAGTGTAAATGATGGAAATAAAATCTAACTTTTGTTGACATATTATAAGAATGTCTAATCTGTAATTTGATGCCTTTTGGAGATTTTTCCATCTTTCCTTGGCTTCTTTATGCACATTAATACACATTTTTAGCTGGGGTGCCCAAACTTTCCATCCCCACTTATATGATGTAGATTGGCACTGCAAGTGGTGAGTAAAGCCGGCCATAGATGGATCAAATCGATCCATCTATAGCCAGGCAGGTTGTACTGACATTGACCCATCCATCGACTTCAGTTCAACCAGCCTGTCAGATTATTTGCATGAAATTACAGCTGGTGGCCATAGGTGCTAGCTATAATCATTGTGTTCTACTGGCAGGGAAGGATCCCATCGGCAGAACACTGTAGAGCTGTGGGAGGGAAGTCCTGCATCAACATTGATTGTTCATGGTGGAATCTAGTGATTTGCTTTTCTCCCAGTCGTGGTTACATGAAACAAAATGGATTCATCTAAGTCTATGGTTTACAAAGACAGCCAGATCCTTCTCCATCACTGGTATAGCAGAATTCACTCCCCCCACCCAAACAGTGTATTGTGTACATGTGTGTAGTCCCCAAATACAGAACTTGTAGAAGCCCATGTGCCTCATAACTGACCAATCATGCTTTGTGGTTATCGGTTGTACCTTACACAACCCCGTGCCGGTTATCGGCTGTATCTTACACAACCCCGTGTCGGTTATCGGTTGTATCTTACACAACCCCGTGCCGGTTATCGGTTGTATCTTACACAACCCCGTGCCGGTTATCGGTTGTATCTTACACAACCCCGTGCCGGTTATCGGTTGTATCTTACACAACCCCGTGTCGGTTATCGGTTGTATCTTACACAACCCCCGTGCCGGTTATCGGTTGTATCTTTACACAACCCCGTGCCGGTTATCGGTTGTATCTTACACAACCCCGTGCCGGTTATCGGTTGTATCTTACACAACCCCGTGCCGGTTATCGGTTGTATCTTACACAACCCTGTGCCGGTTATCGGTTGTATCTTACATAACCCCGTGCCGGTTATTGGTGTATCTTACACAACCCCCCGTGCCGGTTATCGGTTGTATCTTACATAACCCTGTGCCGGTTAACGGTTGTATCTTACACAACCCCGTGCCGGTTATCGGTTGTATCTTACATAACCCCGTGCCGGTTATCGGTTGTATCTTACATAACCCCGTGCCGGTTAACGGTTGTATCTTACACAACCCTGTGCCGGTTATCGGTGTATCTTACACAACCCCGTGCCGGTTATCGGTTGTATCTTACACAACCCCGTGCCGGTTATCGGTTGTATCTTACACAACTCCGTGCCGGTTATCGGTGTATCTTACAC